CCAGCTGCTCCCAGTCTGCTTACAGAGCTGCTCACCAATGTTTGATGTATCTTGGCTCTGACAGAACTGCTTCTGCCTCACTATTACAGTGCTGACTGAGCTGTGCTATGAAATGAGAGCTGTGATAAGAGAGAATTGCATTTAGGGTATGCTTCAGTAAGAAAGCAGTGCATTGTGCATTGGGCACCACACCCTTCAAATAGCTTAAAATACCATTATCAGGACAGTTTTCCCAGACAGGAGTACCTCTTAAGCTCTGCTATACTTCATCATTCTGCCTTTTTGCTCAGTGCATAAGAGTATTGCTGGGGAACTGATTTGCAGAGGGGCTCAGAAGGGACACAGCTGCAGAGTCCCTGGCCTAGAGTATCCTCAGAAAGACCAAAAGCTATTCTATTGCCTGTGCAGGGCTGTAGCCGCCCTGCTTCTCTGCTGTTTGCCAAAGAGAGGTTCACATCAGTTAAATACCTGGCAGATCCTTGCTCTGACGGCTTCCTGTAAAGTAGCTCTGCAGAGGCAGCGAAGGCCCAGGGTTTACGCATTGCCCTGATGCAGTTCTGAGAGAGGGCTGCGCTGCCTCAATGGCTCCTGGGCATCGCCGGGAGCAATCCCAGAGCCTCTTCCTCATCCTTGCACTCCAAACAGGGGCTGGGCAAACAGTCCTTCCTAATCCCCAGAGCAGCCTATTTCCCACATGAGTAACTCTTTGGCATCTGTGGTGTCTGACATTTCTCAGATGTAGCCCCTGCGGCTGAGCTAGAGGCAGGACGCTGCATGGCCACATTCCAATGACTGGATCTCAGACCTAAAAAGAAGTTGTCACCTCTGCATTGCTCCTTTATTATCCAAGGGCTGACAGCTGCTCAAAGCTTGCTGAGCATCGCCCAAGGGTCAAGCAACTCACAGGTAGGAACAAATCTTGCACCTGACAACGACAGTGAGAACTAAGGAAAGTTGCTGATAAGTCTGTGAAGCATCAGGGAACTGAAGTGTTTTTGCAAGGTTTAGGACAAAGCAATGAAGCTGAGTGGTTTTCAGGAAGGCGCGGAAGAGCATACAAGCAGGCAGGCTAATATTATGAAGTGTCCTCATTTGTACTGGGGAAGGCCGCTGTCAGACTTGAGACCATATGTTAAGGTGATGGAAGAGGAAACCATGCAGGGGTACAATACCTTGTAATCGTAGAATCATAGAATCTTTAAGGCCGGAACAGACCTCCACGATCATCTGTCCTGTCAACCCAACCCCACCATGCCCATGACCACAGTCCCTCAGTGCCACATCGACACGTTCTTTGAAAACCTCCAGGGATGGTGACACCACCACCTCCCTGAGCAGCCTGTGCCACTGCATCACCACTCTTTCTGAGAAGAAATTTTTTCCTAGTACTCATACTGAATCCTTACACTTTGGCCAATTATAAAGAGCCACTTTGCCCCAGCAGCTAAGGGTATTAAGGGTATTAATCTTGTGATATGCAGCTTTTCCTCCAGGCAACCAGCATTTCACATTTCATGATCACTAAGGAGGCAGCAAGTGGTCTTATTTCATTTTCCAACAGCCATGTATCCACATATCAGCCTCTAATGCATTGTTCAGATCATGGAAGAACATAAGTCCAAAGTCTAAAATTACTGCTGGTCCACAACTGATAAAGGCTGCATACGGTAATTTGTTGCAATTAAGATCTCAAAGATAGGAGAGCAGCAGAAGCTGATAGAAGAGTAATGCCAGAAAAAAGCGAAGCTCGAGCCATTTCTCAAAAATTAAATGTTTTCTGTTTAGCTATTGCTGAATCAAATAAGATGCTCTGACAACTTCAAGTTGTCATCTCTAAGGAAAAGGGAAACAGCAGGAAGAAAGAGATGTGACTAACAAAACTAGACTCTTTTTTTTAATGATCCTGAGCAAAATCCAGTTCCCACTGAAGCTGCTGAATTTGCTGAGAGCAAGGTTGAAGCTGTACTGTAAGGCTGTAATTCCTCCACACCATTTTGGGCAGAATTGCTGACATCAATCCAGCTACAGAATATCCAGCTGTAAAGGCAAATGCATTAGGATAAGTGCATCCGCAGTGCTTAGTGTATTCAAAAAACTGAATACACTGACAGATTTGTGCCAGCAAGTGTGTGTCACTGACCACTGTCAAGGTACTTCAGCTTTAAGCGATGCGAAAACTACTGAGTTTAGCCCTTCAAACTAGGCGTATCCAACAGTGCAAACTTTTCCTTAGCAACTGCCCAGTAGCCTAGGAAGCCGCAGCGTCACTCTACTGCACACATCTCTTCTTACACGCTACATTAAAGGGAAACAAAAACCACGAGAGGCCAAAAGGAACCACTCATACAAAACCAAGCACAGATTGCTCATTGCTAATGGGTTGAGGATAGTTGAACAATGCATTTTCTATAAAAACCCAGCACATTTAAAACAGCTAATTTTGTATGTTGCAGGTTATGAACTGACAAAATACCTGAGATGTATTTTTATGAGTATCTAGAAACATAAGCACCACCTTTTTACTGAGAGTTATTTTCAGACTTTTTTGCAGTTCTTTCCCAAGCTTTAAAGTAGGTATTTTATTTTCCTACATGTAGGAGGTTACACTTGAAAAACTCTTCAAGATGTGGTAACATTCCTTGCTTGGTCAAAAACAACACATGAGTTATCAAACCAGAAGTTCTAATGCTAATACAGATATTTGCATTCATTGGAGAATGATTTTTATTCTAAGGTGATGAAAGAACAAGATCTGAATTTTACCCTAAGGCTCCTTGTGCCTATTTCACCTTTCTTGTTTGTGAATAGTAGCAGAAACAGCGAAGTGCCTTCTGATGTATCTTCCCCTAAAATACAGAACAAAGCCTCCTGTGAGGGCGCAGCCCTGTTCATGGAGGTCAGTATGACCAACAACTGTTCTACCCAGATGAACAAGTAGGAGCATATGGCTGCAAGAGGGACATGGGGTAGCATCTCCAGGATCTTCAGCCCTGGCAGAGCTGCAGGGGGAATATTCAGTTCAGGTCTGATTACCAGACTTGAAGAGGCAGTACATTTAAAGGAGAGTGCTGCAGGCAGACCCCCCCCCTCAGGGATTTTTTCTGGAGGAGAAGAGAATGGCGATGTGACAGCACAGTTTTGTCCAACATACAGTGACATCAGTCTGTAGAACAGTTAGATTGCCATAAAGCAAGTGGCAAAATGGGTCCAATATGGTCTTTAGCATCTGCCCAGTTTGTCATCTTCCTGAAATTATAAAGTTATAAGTTAATTTATATAACCAGCCTGTGGTCAATGCAATGCTCAAGGTTCTGTACAGAAAGTGGTTGTGTCAAAATCTGTTCAGTTTAAGGGTAGTGTTTTAAAGTTTCCAATGTTCTCCAGTGCTCCAAGTGCGTAGATACAGAGCAGCAGTGTAAACTATTTACTTGTGCATGATTTGTGCTTATAATAACGCAGACATCAATACCCTCTCACAAGTAAGCAGAACAGAACTGCAGCATCCTTCCTGAAATGTTGACTCATGGGGAATGTGGAGCTGGTGATAAATGTTGCAGATCTTCAAACAGAACTTCTCTGTTTTTGCTGTTCTGTTTAATTGAATTTTCTTCTTTCCTCTCTCTTTTCTCAAAGGCATCTCCTGAAAATAAAACAGTTCTGTCTTGAGCACACCATGTTCTTTTGCTGAAATTCATTGGCTCAGCACAAATACAACTGACTCATTGTAATAGGAAGTATTTTACTGTATATATTCTGTCTCTTGTTTCTTACTTTCTTGTTATTATCACGTCTTTTGATGGCAGGTGGTTTAAAAAAAGCAGAAATTACAAATGGTGAAAGTTACATAAAACATCTGGCCAGGTCCTCAGCAGATATAAATTGTTTTCATAACATTTGCAGGTGCTGGAGAACAGGCTTTACCAAATCAAAGCACTCTTTGTTTTCTAATACGTTTCTGCTACACAGAGAGACTGGAAAAGAGATTTATTTCCTCTGTAGCAGCATGCCCTTGATTAACCTCATTTGCAGCAGCTATTTCAATTAAAGAGCTAACACCAACACTGACTTCTAAGCGCTGCTAAGTGTGATACCTGTCTGCTCATGTATCATTTACTTCTCTCAAGCCATTTTCTGTCAGTGCAGAGACAAGCAAGATGTATGCTGTGGGTGAGTCCCATATCATCATTAGCAGAAAATTACACCAAACTGCTGTAAAGTAATTACACTGCTGAGAGGTGAGCCGGGAGGAAGCCAGTGATTAAATACGTGCCACTAGTGCTAAGCCCACACCACACAGTGTTTTGCTCGGAGGCTTTCAATCTATTTTCCAATTGCTGGCTACTGCCACAGGCTGAATCAGACCTTCACTCAGGCCATGGCAGTATGCTCAGGTATGCTCAGTCCTTTGTCATACTATATGAATTTTATTCTGGTCTCATACAACAGAATACAGAACAATGGTAGTTTTTATACAGTAGCTTGGGGTTGCTCTTGCACCACTAAGCTCTTTGTACTGAAATCTTTCACAGGCTATCGCAGAGGTGCTGCTTCTACAGCAATCTATTGTGGTCATACTGCAATGTAGCTATTTGTCATATAAAGAATGTGAAGAGTGCAAAGGTTTGGAAATGATGCGATTGGAATTACCAACATAAAACTCTGACTGAGTGAAAGACCTGGGAGCAAGGACTGAGGAAGCAATAATAAGACTGTACTCTGTATCTTTCCCCCAAATGATCTTAAACAACAGCAAGCTTAACCTTTGATGTGCCTGTGAGAAATATGTATCTTTGTTGTTGAACGCTATTTGAAGCAATGAGATGCTATCATCAGTAACTGAGAAGCGAGCAGTGCACCCTCCAAAACATGGAGAAGTCACATTCCTTGTCCAGAGAGGCCCATCAGTAGGACACAGAAGGAGACTAAGTGAGGCAAATGGTTGGTGGGACCACAGTTTTATTTCATATTTTGCCCTCCTTCCCCACCCTCACCCAGCTCTGCACTCCGCTTGCTCAGTCTCCCTGTTTCACCCTGCTGTTTCACCATTCCCCTCCCCATTCTGCTTACCCCACTCCCAAGAGCCAGAGTCAAGCCAAATGGATAGCCAAAAATGCCTGATACAGCCAAAATGCTAAAGAATTCATACCTGAGGGCATGAGAAGCTTCCTTAATTTTCAGGACACTGGAAGGTCCTTTACAAAGAGCTTTTATCCTGATTTAACCTGTTCCTATGGGTGAAATAAGCAAATGAGTTTTCTAACATTGTCTCCAAACATGACACTAAAAATGTGATAGCTAATGGTCAGAACCTGCCTCCAGTGGTGTGGGCAGCCATTTGGTGACCAACAGGTCCCCTACTTTACTTCAATGTATTTATATCCTCTGTCTGCAATTACCCACACATGAAACTCTCCTTTACTCAGGCCCAATTCTTCTCAAATCAGCAAGAAATACATCACTGGTTTAAATAGGAAGAGGAGTAGGGCACAGACAGCTTCGTAGTATGTATATATGGCTGATGGCAGAGTAATCCAGCAATAAAATTTAGCGCCTGGTATTGTTTGATACTCTCAGCCTCCAGCCACACACCTAGGAATCCTAGGTCTGAATGCTCTCTGCCCACTTACCTCAGGCAGGCATGATGTATGAAAAACAGCAGCTGGTGTTTCAAGGGCTGAACCAGCTATACAGCTGCCACGTGAAGATTTCAGTTGACCCTGGGCTCACTATATAGCTTGGAAATCTGCTTTAGTTTTATTATTAAGAAATGTAAGGAGAATTTTTCAAACAATTGCAGTATGCTCTTAGAAAGTCAATGAGAGCTGGGCCATTGGCAATAGGAGGCACCTGTGGAAAGTCTCCCTTTCCTTTTAATTTAAAAAAAAAATTCAAAATCTTGCCACTTTTGGTTTCTGGGTCACGTAATTTATGACTTTTTAATGTGAAAAACACATTTTTGCTAGTCCTCAACACTGTAGATGGCCCAGCCATTTTTTAACCTGCTTTTACAGAGGCTGTGAGAGCTTTTATCCCCCCAAATAAACTAAAAGCTTCATGCACTGATCACTATTCCATCCAAAAGCATACAGTGTATCAGCAAACAGAAGTCAGCTTACAGAGAAAACTTTTGTATATGGCTTAAAAGAAAGCCCAGACAGAGTTGACAATGATAGATGATCTCCCCTGTGACAGTCAAGAATAATGCAGTTTCATGTTTATATCAAGGAAAAAACAACAATAGACATTTAAATAATCATTTAAAATTAAATGCCTGACACAAGGCAGGTTTCAGCTCTGTTCTGTCACACATCTTTCTGAAATCTTAAATGGCTATAATGTGAGGTCTTCTCATTTGCTTTGCTCACAAACAAAAGCATTGTAATGGAAGTTCCAGTGTATGTGTTATCAGTAAAAGGTTCTCTCGAGGGAAATTAAGTGAAAGGACATTTTTCTTGTCTTCATGTTTGACATTCAGGAGTAGAGACGAGATAAGGTAGGCACAGGAGTCTTTCAAAAGAGCACCAGATAGCAATGGCAGCATTTCATAAGGACGTGAACCGTTCATCATCTGCTGCAAAGACTCCATTAACGTGGCCTGCTTTTAAATCCAGTGTTTCGCAAGGAATCCCATTTTCAATTGTTATTGTCACTTCACTTTTCTCTTCTAAATTTTCTCTCTCTGTTGACTCTTTATTCTTTCTAAAAACAAGGAAGAGAAAATTGTTTTATTCTATTGACCTGCAGCACTCCACCAAGATTTCACAGACAGAAAACTGCACACTTAGACAGAAGCTCACTGTAGGTTATGTACTGAAAGGCATAATCTGTTGCAGAGGCTTCCCAGCATTATTTGCTCTTATATTGACTTTAGCTGCATTAGCTCACGACCACCTACAAGTGCAAAAGCAGGCAGCCACACTCAAAGCCTCTTTGCTGTCGTAAACACACCAGAAAAGGTGGGAGGCTTTTCGTTCCTGGGGCAGGAAACTCGGGTTTAAGTGGTTTGAGATCAGGATTGGGAATCAGAAAACCTGGAGTGAAAATGTTGTAAACATGTTATACACATCATTTGGCTCCTTGTTCTGTAAAATGACAGAAGGGTAAAGTTGGTGTAGGAGAAAAATGGAAAAAAAACTCTTAATGTTTTTTCTTGAAGTCAGAAAGGACTGCCCTACAAATCTAGCCTGTTACGTATGTCAGAGATTTCAACCAACCCATTTGGATAAATTAAGATATACTTTTTAGAAACAGATCAGCTTTTGACTAAAGCCTCCAATGATGGAGACCCGGGCACACTCAGACTCCCTGATGATCCTCTCCAGAAATCAGGAACTTTAGCACTGTAAATCTGCACTTCTAGTTCTAACTTCATTAATAGCCACCTTCCAACTCAGTATCTTATTATACTTCTGTTTTCTAGATTAAACGATTGCATATCTTTCATGTTTATGTGCCACAGTTCTCACAACAACCATATTAAAATAATAAATAAAATCACCTAAAATGAAAACCACAAGAAGGCATCATACAGAAATATCAGTCAACATGTCACAGTGTTCCTTTAATTCCAGATTTATTCTAACCTTGAGATCTACTAGTTCATAGTGGAAAAATGTTCTGTACTTTACAACCTGCAGCATCAGCAGTTTCAGAGGATAAGAAACTCAAAGGTCAGCTCTACTGCTTCTTCCTATCCCTCAACATATACTGTAACAATCTGACTCAGGACAATCATAACAACCTGACTCAGTATAATTGTTAATAACAGTGATATTAAGAATAATAAAATTTTATTGGCCTTTGGGAAATTCTTGGCATTACAAGCCTGCTAAAAATAAACTGTGCGACTAGTGGCAATCTTTGGCTGCCCCTTCTGCTCCTGCAGTGATGAAAGGAGGGTTCTTTAACAGAAAAAAGTGTGAGCAGAAAAACACAGAGACAGTACTAAGGTGCAGATTCAAAAGAAAAGAGAGGAGTAGAAGATGTGTGGAACTTGTTGCT